AACTTTTCGTAAAAATACAAAAATATTGCGCAGAAACTGCTCACGTCGACACTTTTTTAAACTTTGACATCAATTTATTGCTATTTAGGACGAAAAACAATTAATCAATTGCATGCCACTATATTCGGGAAACTCTCCTCTATCTTTTGAGACTGATTAGAACTTTCTAACGTTTGTACTTTTCATGCAATACCTCATTTTTGTCGAAAATTTTGGGTTCTTACAAAAGTTCGTTTATTTAAAAAAACTGAGGGTGATGGAGCAATTCGGTTTTCGGATTCTTGTTCAGGGAGTGAAGCTCTACAAGAATTTCATAGTGGCTATAGAAACCCAAAAATCGTGTCGGACAGTGTTATTAAATGAGCATACTATAACCAGGATATTTTATTTCATTATGTGTTGAACAGGAGATAAATTAAACGATAAATTAAAATTCTTATGAACATAATCTAGGTACGTCTGAAGATGATCAGAAACAATCCTGCTAATGCTGATATTGACGGTAAAATATACGGTACACATAAATATGTAGTATGTATGTATGCAGTAAGGCAAGCACGACGTTATAGCTCTCGCGCATCATATACAAGTCGAGCCAGCCAAACAGAGCACGGTAATGGGGGTAGCGGCGTAGCAGCAAGATCACGACTCGTTCTTACCGACGCGTCACTCATAACGTTCGCCAAATTTGCGAGCAGACGGCGACCTCAAACCGTTGCAAGGTCGTGCCTGCACATGGTTGTCCAGGTCTTGTTTAGATTCTTGCCTTGTAATATATTACTACATAAATAGAAATTGATTTGGAAATTATAAAGAAAACAAGGAAAAATTATAGCAAAACATGATGTAGTGAATATGGCCTTTCTCGTTATTATTAATTTCGACTTTAAAATATATAAACGAAGTGATTCGATTTGTAACGTCAAGGTTCGTGCTCGGCGGGGGAACAGGCGATGAAATAAATTCGACTTGCGCTGGTTCTGAAAGTAACAAAAATGTTTATTATTTAACTGTTAAATCTACTGTACAAAACCTAAGATACGCAAAGCAACTTTGCTTGATACAATATCAATGAAACAATCCTACGCGGATTCTGAGACTGCTCGACGACTCGTCAACCTCCCTTCTGCACGGCCCTCTCAAGGCATCGCTATGCTTGCCGGTTATACATACATACAGGGTGTTACATAAGTATCAATAATTTTTTTATTGACATAATGGTGAATGATATTTCAAAGTCAAGTTGATTTTTTTAAATGGGACCATGCATTTTTTTAGTCATATTACGATAACTGGTTTCAATACGAATACAATGTTGTATTATTTCTTTCAGATAATCGTGAATTAAAAGCAATTCAATCAGCAACAGCGGGAGGAAACATTTGAACTACTAGTTTTCTGGGTAGATTTTTTAGTTCGTGGACTATGAATTAGCCTTGTTCCGGGGTTTTATTATTGAATTTTATAATTATCTTTTTAATTTCTATTGGAGTGACCGTTATTGGTTTTTCATTAGTTGTAATTGGGTTTTCTTGGGTATCTAATGCTACTACTATTTGTAGAATTGTGGTTGCGTGCTCATTGGTGCGTTCGATCGTACAATTTTGGCGTACATGACTTCCTTTGTTTTACTCGCAGTTAGTATCGTTGCAAATACCTTACTGATAGATTGCTCATAACATAAAGTTAAATAATCATTTATAACTATTGTTGCAATTTCTTGACATATGTCTAATACTATGGACTCGTACAGTGAGTTATAAAATATAATTTTTTTTTTCTGCACTACCATGTAATAATAAGGCAGATGTAATGAGGAACTATCATTTTTGTGTCAGGCAAAATGCATTTGCAGCCTCTAAGGGATGTTGAAACCAACCTGTGCGAACAAAGTAGTCATTCAAGGAGTCCAGCTAAGAAAAATCCAGAAGCAGCTACTAATTCTGGAAAAACATGTGGAAATTTAGAATATTGAATGGTTTACAAAAAATTCAAAATAGAAACATTAATGAAGAAATAATATTTGCTCGAAGTTTGGTTGGTAGTGAAAGAACACCTGCATTTGAGCAGTTCTTGGATTTCTTAATTAAAAACGATAGATTAAAAACTTTGAAAAATAAAGGAATAAATCTACTTAATATGTCCAGTATTTTAGGTAGAGTAGAAGCTAATTCAAAAAAAGCTTTCAAAGACTTATATGATCTTTGGTTTGATGAAGATGGAAATAAAACAAAGTATTTAAAAGTTCCAGAAGAAAACGGCATACGGCTAGCTAATATATCCACTATTTTATATGGCTCAAATTATAATGCTGCAATAGCTTTCAAAGAATTATATGATCTTTGGTTTGATGAAGATGGAAATAAAACAAAGTATTTAAAAGTTCCAGAAGAAAACGGCATACGGCTAGCTAATATATCCACTATTTTATATGGCTCAAATTATAATGCTGCAATAGCTTTCAAAGAATTATATGATCTTTGGTTTGATGAAGATGGAAATAAAACAAAGTATTTAAAAGTTCCAGAAGAAAACGGCATACGGCTAGCTAATATATCCACTATTTTATATGGCTCAAATTATAATGCTGCAATAGCTTTCAAAGAATTATATGATCTTTGGTTTGATGAAGATGGAAATAAAACAAAGTATTTAAAAGTTCCAGAAGAAAACGGCATACGGCTAGCTAATATATCCACTATTTTATATGGCTCAAATTATAATGCTGCAATAGCTTTCAAAGAATTATATGATCTTTGGTTTGATGAAGATGGAAATAAAACAAAGTATTTAAAAGTTCCAGAAGAAAACGGCATACGGCTAGCTAATATATCCACTATTTTATATGGCTCAAATTATAATGCTGCAATAGCTTTCAAAGAATTATATGATCTTTGGTTTGATGAAGATGGAAATAAAACAAAGTATTTAAAAGTTCCAGAAGAAAACGGCATACGGCTAGCTAATATATCCACTATTTTATATGGCTCAAATTATAATGCTGCAATAGCTTTCAAAGAATTATATGATCTTTGGTTTGATGAAGATGGAAATAAAACAAAGTATTTAAAAGTTCCAGAAGAAAACGGCATACGGCTAGCTAATATATCCACTATTTTATATGGCTCAAATTATAATGCTGCAATAGCTTTCAAAGAATTATATGATCTTTGGTTTGATGAAGATGGAAATAAAACAAAGTATTTAAAAGTTCCAGAAGAAAACGGCATACGGCTAGCTAATATATCCACTATTTTATATGGCTCAAATTATAATGCTGCAATAGCTTTCAAAGAATTATATGATCTTTGGTTTGATGAAGATGGAAATAAAACAAAGTATTTAAAAGTTCCAGAAGAAAACGGCATACGGCTAGCTAATATATCCACTATTTTATATGGCTCAAATTATAATGCTGCAATAGCTTTCAAAGAATTATATGATCTTTGGTTTGATGAAGATGGAAATAAAACAAAGTATTTAAAAGTTCCAGAAGAAAACGGCATACGGCTAGCTAATATATCCACTATTTTATATGGCTCAAATTATAATGCTGCAATAGCTTTCAAAGAATTATATGATCTTTGGTTTGATGAAGATGGAAATAAAACAAAGTATTTAAAAGTTCCAGAAGAAAACGGCATACGGCTAGCTAATATATCCACTATTTTATATGGCTCAAATTATAATGCTGCAATAGCTTTCAAAGAATTATATGATCTTTGGTTTGATGAAGATGGAAATAAAACAAAGTATTTAAAAGTTCCAGAAGAAAACGGCATACGGCTAGCTAATATATCCACTATTTTATATGGCTCAAATTATAATGCTGCAATAGCTTTCAAAGAATTATATGATCTTTGGTTTGATGAAGATGGAAATAAAACAAAGTATTTAAAAGTTCCAGAAGAAAACGGCATACGGCTAGCTAATATATCCACTATTTTATATGGCTCAAATTATAATGCTGCAATAGCTTTCAAAGAATTATATGATCTTTGGTTTGATGAAGATGGAAATAAAACAAAGTATTTAAAAGTTCCAGAAGAAAACGGCATACGGCTAGCTAATATATCCACTATTTTATATGGCTCAAATTATAATGCTGCAATAGCTTTCAAAGAATTATATGATCTTTGGTTTGATGAAGATGGAAATAAAACAAAGTATTTAAAAGTTCCAGAAGAAAACGGCATACGGCTAGCTAATATATCCACTATTTTATATGGCTCAAATTATAATGCTGCAATAGCTTTCAAAGAATTATATGATCTTTGGTTTGATGAAGATGGAAATAAAACAAAGTATTTAAAAGTTCCAGAAGAAAACGGCATACGGCTAGCTAATATATCCACTATTTTATATGGCTCAAATTATAATGCTGCAATAGCTTTCAAAGAATTATATGATCTTTGGTTTGATGAAGATGGAAATAAAACAAAGTATTTAAAAGTTCCAGAAGAAAACGGCATACGGCTAGCTAATATATCCACTATTTTATATGGCTCAAATTATAATGCTGCAATAGCTTTCAAAGAATTATATGATCTTTGGTTTGATGAAGATGGAAATAAAACAAAGTATTTAAAAGTTCCAGAAGAAAACGGCATACGGCTAGCTAATATATCCACTATTTTATATGGCTCAAATTATAATGCTGCAATAGCTTTCAAAGAATTATATGATCTTTGGTTTGATGAAGATGGAAATAAAACAAAGTATTTAAAAGTTCCAGAAGAAAACGGCATACGGCTAGCTAATATGTCCACTATTTTATATGGCTCAAATTATAATGCTGCAATAGCTTTCAAAGAATTATATGATCTTTGGTTTGATGAAGATGGAAATAAAACAAAGTATTTAAAAGTTCCAGAAGAAAACGGCATACGGCTAGCTAATATGTCCACTATTTTATATGGCTCAAATTATAATGCTGCAATAGCTTTCAAAGAATTATATGATCTTTGGTTTGATGAAGATGGAAATAAAACAAAATATTTAGAAGTTCCAGAAGAAAACGGCATACGGCTAGCTAACATATCCACTATTTTAGGTAGAGCAGGTTATAATTCTACAAAAGCTTTCAAAGAATTATATGATCTTTGGTTTGATGAAGATGGAAATAAAACAAAATATTTAAAAGTTCCAGAAGAAAACGGCATAAGACTAGCTGACATATCCACTATTTTACATGGTGCAGGTTATATTTCTACAAAAGCTTTCAAAGAATTATATGATCTTTGGTTTGATGAAGATGGAAATAAAACAAAGTATTTAAAAGTTCCAGAAGAAAACGGCATAAGATTAGCTAACATATCCACTATTTTAGATGGTACAGGTGATAATGCTACAGAAGCTTTTAAAAACTTATACGATCTTTGGTTCGATGGAGAAGGAAATAAAACACAATACTTTAAAACCCTTAAAAAAGAGTTGGTACATTTGTCTATTATGTCCCATATGTTACATGGATCAAGAGCTAATGCATCAATAGCTTTTAGAGATTTATATGATGTTTGGTTTGACAAACAAGGAAATAAAACAAAATATTTAAAAGACTTAGAAAAAGTAGAAATAAGTCTGTCTCATATCTGTAATATGTTGGACGGGGCAGGAGACAATGCTTCTAAAGCCTTTAAGGACCTATATGATCTTTGGTTCGATAAAGATGGAAATAAAACTCAATATTTAAAAGTTCCAGAAGAAAACGGCAGAAAGCTAGCTAATATGTCCACTATTTTATTTGGCTCAAATTATAATGCTGCAATAGCTTTCAAAGAATTATATGATCTTTGGTTTGATGAAGATGGAAATAAAACAAAGTATTTAAAAGTTCCAGAAGAAAACGGCATACGGCTAGCTAATATGTCCACTATTTTATATGGCTCAAATTATAATGCTGCAAAAGCTTTCAAAGAATTATATGATCTTTGGTTTGATGAAGATGGAAATAAAACAAAATATTTAAAAGTTCCAGAAGAAAACGGCATAAGACTAGCTGACATATCCACTATTTTACATGGTGCAGGTTATATTTCTACAAAAGCTTTCAAAGAATTATATGATCTTTGGTTTGATGAAGATGGAAATAAAACTCAATATTTAAAAGTTCCAGAAGAAAACGGCATAAGACTAGCTGACATATCCACTATTTTACATGGTGCAGGTTATATTTCTACAAAAGCTTTCAAAGAATTATATGATCTTTGGTTTGATGAAGATGGAAATAAAACTCAATATTTGAAAACCCTAGAAAAGGAGGGTATAAATTTGGCTACTATGTCCCGTATGTTACGTAGATCAAGAGCTAATGCATTAATAGCTTTTAAAGACTTATACGATCTTTGGTTTGACAAACGCGGAAATAAAACAGAATATTTGGAGACCTTAGAAAAAGAAAAAATAAATCTGTCTAATATGTCCAACATATTGGACGGGGCAGGAGTTAATGCTTCCAAAGCCTTTAAGGATCTATATGATGTTTGGTTTGATAGGGAAGGAAATAGAACGCAATATTTGAAAAGTCTAATAAGGGACGGGATGAATCTAACTAAAATGTTCAGAATTTTACATTCTGCAGGTGCTAATGCTGCGAAAGCTTTTAAAAACTTATACGATCTTCGATTTGATGGGGAAGGAAATAAAACTCAATACTCGAAGACTCTGGAAAGCAAAGGGATAAATTTGACTATTATGAGCTAAAGCTTTTAAAAACTTATCTTTGTTTTGATAGACGAGGAAGTAAAACACTTTATTTAAAAACATTAGAATCCATTGCTTTACATGATGCTAGAATTAAAGCTACAGAAGCTTTTAAAGATCTGTACAGTCTTTTATTTGATGGGGGTGGGAGTAAAACTCAATATTTAAAGACAATAGAAAAGAGTGGGATGAATGTAATTAATATATGCTTTGTTTTGGATTGAGCAGGTGCTAATGCTGCATGATACTTTTTTTTTGATAGACGAGGGAATAAAAATCAATAAATTATTTAAATCACTTCTTAGCCGAGAAAGAACTTTTCAGATTTCTGTGTAAACTCTGGTATTTTGTGAAAAGCATCTAATGTTTTATCCTTAACTATTAGACTGAGAAGGGAAGTGCTGTGTATGGAATCGTAAATCGTAAAGCCTGTCTTGAAAGGATATGAAAAAAGAATATGATAAGATGAGTAGGAGACAAAATTAGGTTTAGTATTATTTAAGTGATGAATTACTTATTGCAAGCGGAAAAAATGGTTTCAAAAGAAGATACAATTTCTGTTCAGTATTTCATATAAAAAAAAAAGATATTATATTCTGTTTTGTATTTAAGTTTTATATTACATTTTGTATTTGTTTGAAATAAAACTGTTATTTAATAATTCTTGTTATGCATATGTATAAGATTAATGCACTGAGAAGTCTTGGAAAGAATGTAACAAAATCATAAGGTAAGCAAGCTATCGCGGTCGGTGTATCGACAAATTTATTTTCAAAATAAGAACTCATGAAATCAATCTCATAGCTGCACCTATAATTACACTGTCCGACAAAATCAAACTTTTTTTCTGCGTTCCTATAGCCACTATGAAATTCTTGTAGAGCTTCACTCCCTCAACAAGAATCCGAAAATCGAATTGCTCCATCACCCTCAGTTTTTTAAATAAACGAACTTTTGTAAAAACCCAAAATTTTCGACGAAAATGAGGTATTGCATGAAAAGTACAAACGCTAGAAAGTTCTAATCAGTCTCAAAAGATAGAGGAGAGTTTCCCGAATATAGTGGCATGCAATTGATTAATTGTTTTTGGTCCTAAATAGCAATAAATTGATGTCAAAGTTTAAAAAAGTGTCGACGTGTGCAGTTTCTCCGCAATATTTTTGTATTTTTACGAAAAGTTCTTTGTTCGGCACGAAAACTCTACCCAGGATCGGATTCTGTAGACATTTCTGAAGAAGAAACGGCCCGATAGAAGTGTCAGAACGATGTACATTTTGAGTAGGTCGAGAAAATGTTCGTCAACAACATGTACACGATGTTTTGCCACCATGTGTTTCGCTGCTCGCTTCTCTCTGTCCAACAGGGCCGCGGTTATGGGTAATCAACACCGATGGAGGGATCCAATGGGGCACCCACTTAGCGTGTGGGGCGTGCCATTTTTTTTAGTACTTCAATGTGCTGTCTTGTTTTACATATTTTTATGGATAATAATCACCAAACTGTGAATCATAAATTAAAAATGGAGAAATAATAAAAGAAAAATAATGAACAAAAACTATTCATTTTATTCTGAATTTGTTCGAATTACAAGTATATCATGTATACAGTTATCATTTCAATTATAACGATAATACGATCATGAATAAATAATCATTTTCAAAACGTTAAACTTCTTGAAACATATCGTTAAATATATATTTAAATATTTATTTAATTATATGGCGTAAAAGNCGTAGAGTCAAAATTATACTAGTGTTAGAATATACTTTCGTTACCAACTCCAAATACTCTGGTGTGGTTTTTTTCGTGAAATATATCACAGTTTGGTGATTATTATCCACAGAAATATGTAAAAAAAAGCAAAACATTGAAGTACTAATAAAAATTCAAATATTATTTACGAAAAGTGGATACCCCATTGGATCCCTCCATCGGTGTTGATT